ACAGTTGATCTCCTAAAGAAGTGGACAGAGTACTGGAAAATATGCTGAGTCCTAGAGATACATTAAATGACAGATTCCAATAGTTTTTAGTGTCTTCTGTCCTGAAGGACTGTACTCGGAAGTGTTTTATAAACTTTATTTCATCTACAAACTTTACAAATTAATCACTTTATTTTTCATTGAAAGGCAGGCATCCTGAAAAGGAATGTGGCATTTGTCTTTCAGAGTTAAACAGCTTTGCATACCAAGAGCAAAATGCTAAATCTAATTGTGTTGGAAATCTTTTGGAGTGGCATGTTCAGTGCAAACACATCTTATTATCTGAAGTAAACAAAAATAGAAAAGCTCTCCTATTTGAGAGTTCCTTTCAAGCTATTGCATAGCACCAAATTGGATGCATGGATTCTCTTGCCTCAGAAGAACCTTACCAAGCTCAGATTAGCTGTATCCACAGGATATATCTATAACACTGGCTTAGGCTATGTCTACACTACCAGTTTTTTTTCGGAAAAATATATGCAAATTGTGAACCACAATTTGTGTATTTTTTTCCGCTTATTTTTTCGGAAGAGGCTTTTCCAACATGTTGGAAAAACCTCCACTTTCAGAACATCCTGGATGCCAAAAGAACGTGCCTGATTTTTTGGAGACTGTTCCTAAAAAGCAGACACGTTCCCTGGTCATGGCAGAGTTTTTCAGGTTACCTCCAGTATCCCATTTTTCATGTTCCCTGGTCATGGCAGAGTTTTTCAGGTTACCTCCAGTATCCCAGAAAAACTCTGCAGTCTAGACATAGCATGTGTTCATATCTCCCTGTTTTGACTGCCATCAAAATCATTATAATAGCCTGGAGTTACACGTTGGGGGTTTGGCTGGTGGGTTCCTGCTGTTTGGCTGTTATGTCCAGAGAGGTGGTAACACTTTTGTCATAAATACAATTAAGATGTATCTTAATTGTCATGATCAGGCTGAAGAATTGTTCCCAGTGTTTTTTGTGTGTCCTGTATTTAATTTATGTAATAGCTATGGTTGGAATAAATGCAAAAATAAAATAATTGTTTAATAATTCTTATGACGTGTCTGGATTTAATCTGTCTAGAAGTGGGTGGGTGAGGAGTGAGTTTTCTTTCTGGAAGCAAGGTGTGTAGGGGAAGTGTCTAATCTTTTATTTTTTATCTTAAATTCTGGTTTTGAAGGAAACAAGGCAACAGTAGACTCATCTCAAGTGATGGTTATCTCTTTTTGCTTATACTTGTGTAAATGCCACAGATATTTGTATGTTGTGTAAAATTGATTTTAATAAAGAAAATGTACAATTAGCATGTCTATGTGAGTGTCTTCTCCAGAATGTTTTCCTGCTGGATTATTTAGAAAGCAATGAAATATCTAATGTAACTAAACAAATGGGTCACTAACCCTGTTCACTTTATTTGTATGTCATACCCCTTTCCTATACACTTTGATGGTGTTTCTTTTTAGTTAGAAAGCTCTTTGAGACAGGATTCTTTCTTGTCCTGTGTTTGGAAAAGATCTAGCACATTGTGGGCACTGCCAGAATATACATAATTAAACTGGGAAAGATCAGGATCACGCTATAAAGAGTTGTATGCTTTGTGGGTCTTTGCGTCACTCAGGCCAGCCCAAGAGTGTACAAATGGTGTCACCAACAGTACCAAAACAGTTTACCCGGACACTCAGACACACTCATTAATCTGAAGCGAAAGCTTTCCTATTCTTACACAACTTTCATCATTGTAGTATCTGAAGCTACATAACATATTCAGGTACATAAATACCTTTGAGGGTCTCTGCCTGAGTGTCTGTCCAGTAGTACATTAAGCAACATGACTATGCATATGTCACATATTCTGTCATCCTCTTCCCAGGAAGAGAAGTGTGTGCAGGGGGATGTTTTTGTTTTGGAATGTGCTTATTGACACATCGGTAGCTATATGTTCCCTGCCTCACAGCACAGGCCAGAAAGATGATAAAGTCATAGCAGAGAAGCTAAATGAATTCTTTGCTTCAGTCTTCATGGCTGAGGATATCGGGGAGATTCCCAAACCTGAGCCATTCTTTTTAGGTGACAAATCTGAGGAATTGTCCCAGATTGAGGTGTCCGTTAGGGAAGTTTTGGAACAAATTAATAAACTTAATAACAAATCACACTGCTTCAGTCCAAATATGTGGGTGTTTAGTCATAGTCAGATTGTCCATCATCCACTTCCCTTTGTGTGAGTATCTAAAAAAGGCATAATTCATTTAAGGCGGAGCATTTTATTCCAGCAAATATGACAGGGAAGGGGAAGCTCAGTACTAGGAATACATGGGTTAGATTGTTTTTGTTCTTACCTTCAAGCAAAATGAGACTTCTTACCTTCAAGCAAAGTGCAATCTGGTGAAGCAAGCAAGGGAGCCAGCACATAGAACGTTGCCTCCTGAGGCATGGCAGGCTGGGACCATTGCACATCATTTGGGAGCTGGGGAACCTCTTGGCTTTGGTTGTGAGTTACCAATCTGTTTTTATGACGTGGGTGGAGGGATATGCACCTGAGAGAGGTGAAGTTATCAGTGGGGAAGTGTAAAATGATTGGTATGGGGAAAAGGCTTTCAAGGAGCATTCTCTGTGACAACAAAGGGCAGAGTAGGCTGATGTGGATGAACTCATGATAGACTGGGATGGATTCAGAGGGGTACTTCAACCTTTGCCAAATTCCAAGTATGTGCATAGTCCCAATGACTTCAGATTAGTCACATGCTAAATTCCTTCCAGACTGGGGGCTATGATCACTCAGAATATGAGATACCAGTGTTTTTCTACAGACTCCATTTGCCATCCCAGCGAGCCAGATCTAGATCAAGATTCTGTGAATATTTGTTTGACTCCATGTATGTTTAATGTGGCAGAGTGAGCTGGATTTTTAATAGTTTTAAATACTTTTTATTGCAAAATAAAGAATAAGTTCTCAAAATGGCCTTTTGACATTTTCCTTTCATTGATTTGTTGGCTTGATAAACCAACAGCCTTAATTATCTTTTGACTTTGGAGACTGCTCTAGAAAGGGGAACCACTTCCTCTACCTGCTCCATTGTAGGAATTATTGTTTTGCATGTGTCACATGGTGATTGTCCTGTTGATGCTAGTCCTGAGGCCTGACATTTTGAAACTAATTATTATAGTATTAAAAAGTTACCATATTACCGTACCTCCAAACAGATGGAAAAAACAGAATTGCTATTGAGTGTAGAACCTCACTTCACTTGGCCGAGAAGTCTTTTCCCTTTATTAAGACCCTCCATCAAGGACCTCTGTGATTAATAAACAGGAATGATATTAGCCCTGTTTTACAGATGAGGATACCAAAGCAAGAAGGGACTTGCCCAAAGTCACACAGCATGTAGGGCAGTGCTGGGAATAGAACTTAGATCTTCCAGACAGATGATGTATGTATGTCCTTCTTCCCTGTAGAACCAAGGCATGAGGCCTCACTGGGTTTGAGCTACAGAGTATAACACTGAGGTCTCCCAACTGTGGGGAGCATACAGGAACATTCTGGGTGGGAAGAGAATGCTGCTGGGGACCAGGCCAGACTCTACATGATGTGAAGAGGGAACACCACATAGCTCCAGTCCTGATCCTAGGTGCTGGCCCTGCATATGAGGCTGTACTCCTGGCTCCACACCCAGGTCCCTAGCTGCCAACTGTATGCCCACTGCTCTGCTCCCAGCTGCCAGCCCTGTGAAGCAAAATGTTTGGTGACCACTGGTAGAATGAGTGACATAAAATACTGGAAGTTCAAATATGGAATAGATAGGCCTCACTAGGAGGGAGGTCATGCCTCAGGCCAGATTAGAAATAATCATAACAAATGATGCTATTGCTGTTTTTTTGCTAGTACTATTACCCACAATGTAAGCCAGACCCAACAGCTACATAGCTTAGGCCAGCCTCTCTGATCAAGATGCAGCATGACATTGTCTTAGACCCCTTGCCATGCAGATTTAATTCTGGAGTAGTTCTTGGAGGCAGCTGGAAGATTTAAATACATCTGGGATGTCACGGTCCAGTTTTGAAATGATTTTGTAAATGGGTTTCTTCCAGGAGGGGTCAGAATCCTTCCCTGCTCTGACAGCACTAAAGAACTCCTGCAGAGTCACATTAGCAACCTCCAGGAAGTGATCAGGGACCTGCAGACAGAGAGAGAGAAACTTATGAACTGAGTGTGCTGTGCTGGGAGTCCCAGGAGGATGGGCTGGGCTGCTGATCATCCTGCCAAACGTACACGGGGGGGTTCTGGCCTCCCTCTAGCAGTAACAGGTAGTGGCAATCTTCCTGGCCCCTGAGGGGTGGGGTACCCAGCTCCTCAGCAGCTGTATTTTTCTCCAGTCTTCCTCCCAGACAAGTGGTCCAGCTGCTCATTCAGAATAGCAGGGTTGTTGATTCCCCCAAATAACCTCCACTACTTTCCCAGATAGTGCTTCCCACCAGGATATTATTTCATCCTCCGACCACAAGAGCAGAAATCTGCTGTAGTTCCTCCATTTAGGGAAGAAGCTCTGTTTAGCTCTGCCCTACAGGATGGTGAGTAAGCACTCATAATGTTCCCATATAAAGAGCCCATGATTCAGACTAAGCAGACATTCAGCTCAGACCGCCCCCTCCACATGCATGGTGATATTCCCATGAGGGCCACAAGAAGGCAAATTGTCCCAGAATACCCAAGGCACTGCCCAATCCTGGGCAGTTAAGACTTGGACATTTGAGGTACTTCTACACAGCCGGGCTAAAGTCGAATTAAGCTACAGTCGAATTAATTCAAAATAGCTTAACTTGGCTTTTGGCGCGGTCTACACTGCAGGAGGAAGTTGAAGAAAGAACACTTCCTTCGACTTCCCTTACTCCTTGGGAAATGAGGGTTACAGGAGTCAAAGTAAGAAGTCTTCAGCTTGACATTATTTCAAAATAAAGGCTTGTAGTCTAGACGTGCACAGTATTATTTCAGAGTAACATCAGTTATTCCGAAAGAACGCTGCTGTGTAGATGCACTGTTGGTGACTCGGGAGATGGGCACTGGATAAGAATACAGACAGTCAAATAGTGAGGTCTGATCAAGCAGCATAAGCACAGGACTGGGAACCAGGAAGTTCCATTCCCAGCTGTGACAACTCCCAGTCTGCGGCCTGGGGCAAGTCACCTGTGCTATATGTTGGATTCCCCATCTCTATAATGGGGTTAATTCCTCAATCACATTCTTGGAACCTGTGAGGAGCAACCTGTCAATATCTGTAAAGTGTTTTGAAGATGACAAGTGTGAAGTATGCCTGGGCTGATTTCCTAGCAGGCATTGCAACCAATAAGATTTGCAGGTTCCCAGGGCCTGTGAAATGACTTGCCCATAATGACTTGCCTGCACTTGTCTTTTTACCATCAAGCCCCTAAGCCAAACCATTATAAGCATTTCTGAGCACAAACTCAGCTGATTCTGTTACGTGTGCTAGAGTGATGCCAGAATTACGGCTGCAGGCCCTTGGGCCTGTTTTTTCTATACTTTGTAATTATGATCAAAATCTGTTTCCCCCTCTCTCCCTTTGTTCTGTGATGGGAGCTAAGGGATGGCATTGGTCCCAACTTGCAAACCTGTTGGCTTAGATACCTTCTGGGGCACCTCAAAGATTCCATCCTGGCTGAACATAGTTTTACCTCAAAGTCATTCCCCTTGTTATAGTGCATGTTGAGGGCCCTGAAGAGCTCAGAGTCCCGGGAAACCATCAGATGCTTGGAATCTGTAACTTCTTCCAAGATAGCTTGTCTGGCAAACTTCTCCATCTGGATGTAATAAAACTCACGGAAGTTGCTGAACCACTTGATGAGCTGCGAAGTGATGCAGCGGTTAAACTGTAAAAGGACATGCACCAGAGGAGCAAGGATGGGTTAAACATAGGCTTGTTCCCATTGGAGCCATGAGAAGGAACTAGATTTCAGCAAAGAAACTAAAGGTAGACATCTTAGACCCCAAAAATGTGAAAGAATGAACCCATTCCAACTTCCTCAAAAGCTGTAATTCCCTGGGGTGGATGCTGTGGGCATGAACTAAAAGGTACCTAGTTTGCCTTCTATAATCTTGTTCAAAGAGGATTGTTAACTCAAACCTTGCACCTTTTAGATTGCATCTGCAGCATTCACATGGGGCAGTTTTGCACAGCTCTTTTATGCAAGCAGTGGTTCACACTCTCAGTCTGCACTGCATGGCTCATGAAGACAGATTTTTAGAACCACTGCTCTCCAGTCCTTGTCTCTCTGCTATCCCCAGGTGGCTACTACTGAGGCACATGTGCAGGTGGGCCAAATCAGCCTCCCTCAGCCAGCAGAAGCCATGTGGCCCATACACCTTTAAGAACAGTCCTGCTGGTAGTTGCAAAGGAGTTTCCTTTTAGCCAAAGTGACCAGATAATCAAGTGTGAAAAGATCAGGACCCTTTTTGTTAATGGAAGGGAATTGCTTATTTAAAGACAAAGCCCATCCAATAGGGATGGGTCCTGATAATATCAGTGCATCTGGTCATCCTGCTTTTGGCTGTGGTATTCCTCCAGTCAGACAGAGAGGCAGCAATAGGATAGAAACCCAGAAGTGTCCCGGGTTCACGTGAGCAGCAGCAGCAGCTGCTGCCCTACCGTGTTGCCAATTATGATTTCTTTTTAAATGGCAGAAATTGGGGAGTTTGGAACCAAATTGTCATTGAGTGACTGTTGTTTTTGCTGATCATGTGTGAAAAGTAGCCCATGAAGCCGGCAGTGCTGCCAGTTAGGCCTGGTGAGCAGCAGAGTGGGGTGAAGCAGCTGTACCTGGACATCAAGGAAGTAGGTTTTCAACAGAGTGGAGCTGGGGTAACGAGTGAAGAAGAACATCAGCTTGGCCTTCTTCAGGTGGCCAGGGGTCAGAGCCTCCTGGATTTACCCTGGAGTCAAGGAAAAGATGTTTCCTGTTTGCATGGGTAACCCACACATCTAGTGACTGTGGGTCACAGTCCTATGTAGTGGCATTTAGACCATTTACAGTGAGAGATAAGAACAAGGGAGTTCTACAGCCTAAGCTGAGAGTCAGCTGGCTTTATAGCTCAAGCTGTAGAGGTGTCTACACTAAGCTCCAGAGGTCCCAGATTCACATCCACGTTATGGTGGTTACATGTGCACACACAAAGCATAGAATTTGTACAAAGCCATGTACTCCTGACAATGCCTCTGGTGATCTTCTCTTTACCTGTGATGTCTCCTCTGCACAGACACACCATTCTCTGTACTCCTGGGGAATTCCTATCTGAGGAGGCCCTTTAACTGACCCCCAATAATAAAGACTCCTTCAATGAGCACACCTCCCCGTGACAGTCCCAGAAGAGTAGCAACCAGCAGGAACCCCCTTCCTGGCTGATGGTAATGTGGCTGCCAAGACTGAAGAGATGGCCTGAGGCTGGGAGTGGGAG